ACTAACACATCAAAAGCGTAAAGAGATGTGCTCTTGTGTCTGTAGATGGAGAAATTTGGGATGTTACATCTCCTGTCTGGTTTCCGCCATGCCTTGGTTAGTGATTCCCCCCACATGAGGAGAGGGTGCAAGGCAAAGCTGCTCAATGCATGACCTGTCTCCCTTGGGTGCTCCTGCCTGCCCCATGACTGAGAGTGGCCAGCCACTGACAGCACCAGGATTGACAACAGCCCACTTCCAACTGCTCTTTTTCATGGGTGGATGTGAGGAACACAGATTTGAGTCAGTGCAGTGGCACATAGGCGGGTTAAAATAGATTTATGGATTTGCACAGGGACAACTGACTGCTATGGGCAAGAGTAGTAGTATAGCTTCTATGCTAATAAAAATGCCAGAGCAGAAGACTCCTTTCTCGCATGGCTTGCCTGACCAGCAAGGCTGTGATCACTGCTCTGTGAGACCAGTGAGCGCCCTGGCCCACTTTAGTGCAAAGTCAGACAAATTAGATTGAATCATCATTAAAGAACAAAAAATGTGTCTGCTAACAGTAATTAACATCTGTCTTCTTCTATATTGCTTTTAATTTACAGAGCTTCAGTCATGGTTGAACTATTCTGTATGCTATTCATTAGCTGATCACATGCCACTGCTAATTTTTTTCAAATGGGTTCACTATTTATAAATGTTCACCAGTTTGTGACGACGCACGAGGGGAGGGAGGGAGGGTCATATTTATTCTATCATTTACTTTATGAACAGAACAGAAAAGCATAATTCCACTTGGAAGGCACCTACAGTGATCATATGGTCCGATTGCCTGACTACTCTGAGGCTGACCAAGTTAAAGCATGTTGTTAAAGCCATTGTTCAAATCCATCTTAAACACTGACAGGTTTGGGGCATTGGCCACCTCTCTAGGAAGCCTGAATATAAATTTTAGGGGGAATAAATTTCATGCTAAAAATTGGTGGGGTTTTAGGTTTCATGAATACCAAATGGGATGCTTGGTGGCTGCCTAAGTAACAACATACATCTCACTTCTGTATTTCACAGAGCAAGCCAGTTAATTTTGGTATTATTAAACCAGCTCTGCTAGTTGAATTGAATTTTTTTGTTGGTACAACCTCAGCCCTAATTAAACGTTTATAACCTCACACAGCTAGACACAATACAAGTCACCCCGACTGAGAGACCTTTGCTCATGGAAAATCAGCATCTGATGTTCAAAAGACAGAATGGAACCAGAATGTTAAAGCATCTACTCACTATCCAAACAGTCTCTATTGTTACACTTATTGCCAGTAATATCCTGTTTGTCACTGGGATAGCACTTCGGTTTGCCTGCCATAGAAATAGCATTTACCTCGTGGTTAAACCCTTTCAGTGTGGACCTTTGGAAATTCACCAAAGGTGAGGAACCGACCCAGGACTTTGATCTCCAACAAAACCTCTTCAAAATGCCTTGAAGAGTAACCAAACTTGTAAACTTCCATGCATCCAACAAAAGAAACCATTTTCATATTCAAGTAACAAATTTGCCTTTCCCATCTGCTTGGCATTGCCTCTGACCCTACTCTACATCCATCACATCCCAAGCTTGGCAACCGGCCCTGAACAAATTTGGTTTTGTGGACTGTGGGTGAAATCTGTGGCAGAATATTACTGGTGTGGAGCTAATAACTGGTTTGGACTTTGGTACAGCGCAGCGGCATACATGTTGAAACACCAACAGCCTTTCTTCCCCAACATCACTGTATCTGAGTTGTAAATGCTGTGTGAGTTATCTGCAGGAAGCCTACTCCTTCCCTAGGTGAAATCCGTCTACTACCTTTGATTTCTTAGAGGAAGGTTGGGCCCAAATTTTGCAAAGTTTTTTCAAGCCCTTTCATGTGAAAGGCACTGGATAAGTACTATACAGGTCTAATACTGTTGGAGCTCAGTCCTTTGAAATGCTGGTTGCTTCCTCTTGTCTACCCTTGCCAGTATGCTCACCTGCTTCACCTGTCCCATGGAAGCCTGCCCAGGGAAGGAGCTAAAAAGATGCAACACAGCAGGGCAAGTACATGTAGCTGCAGGACCGTGAATGGTTAATGCCTTGGCCACAGCAGTGGTGCATCTGGAGCTTTTCCCAATGCTGGGCTGGATAGTATCACTGTCTCCTCTGAGTTGCTGGAGTCATGTCAGTGAGAAACTGCTCTGAGATCACCACTGGAGTCCTCAGTTTTTAATGCTTTCCCCCCTCCCTACTTTTTCCATTAGAAAGAAGGAAATTGGTAAATGCCCTGGGACTCACAACCAGGCTGTGACCTGGTGAGGCAAGAGGGAGAGCTTGCTAACACACCACTGCTGGTAACAACACCTGGGTGAAAAACCTTCAGTGAAAACTGCAGCTTCACAAACATCTGTAGCAATTAATTGCTTTTGAGCATTTCCAGCATGGAAGACCAGAATCAAATGGTTTCAGCTTGTTTGGGAAAGTTGAAACAGTTGGGTTTGGCAGAGGCAGGGCAGGGGCAGAGCCTCAACCACCCTGCAGGATCTGCCCATGTATGAAGCCTCCCTGTGTGCCATGGTGCCTTTGATATCACCATGCTCATGGTACTGCTGTGCCACCTTTCCTCTCAACTATGGGCTGCAATGCAGATAGATGTGGAACGGGCTGCTGCAACAGAATATTCTGAAGTCTGTAATCTCAGCAGTAAGGTTGCCCCAGGTGAGCTCTTTTCTCTCCCAATACCCACAGTATTTTAGATAGGTTATGTTATGCTTTGTGCCATGTAATATTTTTATGTTTTATGAGTGGGACTTTTTCTGCTCCAGAAGTAATTTCCACTGCTCAATTCTATGTGCAGTTTTGTAGTGAAGTTGGTTTAATAAATGATGGGATTTATCAAAACCCTGGAATTACATCTTTGATCAATGCTAGTGTTGACCTCTGCTGCTGAACAGGGTTTTTCTTAGAATAACATGTTAATATATGGAGCTATTTTTTCTCTTATCTTTCTGAACTTTCTCATTGAAAACATTCTTAGTTTATATTTATGTGCTGTAAATAGCTGGAGATATTTTAGATGTCTAAGTCTTCAAACCCTGAAAATGGAGCTTGATTTAAAACTGCATTCATACTGCTTTTACCTTATACCCTAAGGAAATAAGGATTGCGCAGTGACATTCTTTGTCTTCCCATCCTTCCCTCAGCCCTCCTCTCCATCAGTAACTTTTGAGCCCACTCACAATTTCTACTGTTTCTGGCAGAGAGGAAAGGAAATTGAAGCAAGCCCTTGCAAGTCACCTGCAGCTGGGCAGGGAAGAGAAATCCAGTGTAGTGCCCCCACCGAGTGTCGGCCTGCCTGTCTGGCATCAGCACCTGTGTGTGTGCACAGCCCCATGCACACGTGTGCCCTCATGCTCACAGCACAACCACCCAGCCACAGGCTGATGCATGCATGGTCTGGCACCAGCTATTGTACACAGAGGTATTTGCAGGGCATGGAGAGAAAGAAGGGCAAGTAAGTCCTGCAACCAGCATATAGCTGGGAAGGGAAGCTGTAAAGGATAAGAGATCTCAGCTTTTCATGGGAAAACGGGTGCTGTTGCACTATAAGGCGGAGATTCACACAGCCAGGCTTCTTTAGGGTTTTTGGCTCATTCAAGTATGTGTTTAGAACAAGCAATATGCTTTCCTATGTCTTGTTTGGGTAAAGGTTTTTTTTTCTAAAATGGTCTCTCTGGTGGGAAGGGTAGAGGAAAGAAAGCGTTGCTTGCATTAGAAGTGATGCTGCCCACTCTTGTGGAGGAAAAGGACTTCACATTTCCATGGATCAGATTCTGCAATTACACAGCTTGCTTGTTCGGTCAGTTCATCTGCTAAACCTGACACAAAGCCAGAATGAAAGCAGAGATTTTCCCATTACAGAATACCAAATCTATGATAAGCCATGCCATAAAAATTCAGTTTTTAAGGAGGTGGGGAGAGAATGAAGGAAACTCCAACTGTTGCTGCAAGATAAGCTATGAGTTTTGCAGTGCTTCTAGAATCTGTTTTTCAGGGCTCTCATAAACAATAACAACTGTAAGCCAAAGGAGCAGTGAGAGAAGAAAACCAGCAGAATTTGGGATAGGAAACTTTAAGCAGAAGTTTGAATAACAATTTTAGCCTAGCACACCAGCTGCATGATAACTTTGGACGCAGCTGGGTAATGTAAGTAATTGCTACAGAAAGAGGCCTGTGAATATTGTACTTAAATCTGTGAGTCTGTTTTGCACAGCAATGCAGTGAACATCATCGATGATCTTGATTATGTTCGTATTTTTTTCTTATACCACAAATTCCCTCACAAGAAAGTACTCAAACCAATCACCACTTCTGCTTTTCCTACAATCAAGTTATAACATTAAAATCTATTTATAGATGGAGTAACAAATATCTCTGAAAGGAGTTATATTCTGACAGCACTGAAAAAGACTATGCTGGTTTTCCCAAAGATTGCTATTTAAATAGGATATATTCTCAAAGACTATCCTTTAAATAGGATATAAATATTGTAATCTACACATCTTTTGCCATGAGGCACAAGATCACTGATAGCACATATTTTTAAGTGCACATACATATAGTCTTCATAACTGCAGCCCACAAAGTTCATAACTTCAGAATTTCAAAAGCAAACCAAGAATACAAACTGAGCGAGGCAGAATTGTATTTGTTGTCCCAAAAATCCAGGGGATTTACTTACATCCCTAACGCTGCTTATTCACCAAAACTAAAATAAAAATTGGAAGCAAACAAATAAGTTCTCTGAATAAATCCTGCATTGCCCCAATTGTACGAGCTGCCATCTAAGCTGCCTGGCTACCATCCAGGCCTGAATCACATTCCCGGACAAGGAGTAACCCAGGCATCCCCTTTGAACCATCCTCTCCTCTTCTTGAGCTTCCTTTACCTCCCACCTGGCTCTCCTGCAGCTCTCAATTAAATTTCTTTTAAAACGCTTTCTTACCTGCATAGTGGTCAAACACAGTGGGGACATACTCCTCCGGGAAGGCATCATTGGCGTAACTCATCAGCAAACAGGTTTTCCCAACTGCACCATCCCCAACCACCACACATTTTAACATCTTCTTCGTGTTATTGCTGCTCCCGTCAGTGCAGTTGTCATTTTCCTTGCAGTTCATTCTTGCTGTTGCTGCTGCTCCCGCTGTTCTTGCTTCTCCCAGGACTTCCAAGTGCACATGAAGGAAAAATGAAGTGCGATTGTATTGACTTTTCCTGAGTTTGGAGGGGGGGGCAGCAAATCTCAAACTCAGGAAATCATACTAATGTTTCCAGGCTGCCACAGCCGCTTCTAACAATTTCCAGATCAGTAAAAAGAATCATCGAGGTGAATATATTAAATATACAGAGAGAAATGCCATAAAAAAGCTATCTGTCCCTTCTCGTTCGTCCGAGTCAGGAAATCTTCATCCTGCCTGGGAGTTCTCAGTATTTATTGCGACCTAAAAAATATCAGCAGCCCGCAGCTTTGATTTGCATTTCCCTTCCTCCACCTTGGCTGCAGGAATCAGGGATTCCTGTTAAATCCACTCCATTTTCCATTTCATTTCTAACATGGAGGAGAGCCTGGAGGTTTTTAATGGAGTTTTTCCTTTCTTTCTCCAGCTTGCTGTGTGTCAGGAAATCATGGGTTTCCTGCTGAATTCCGTATTAGGATCAGTGGGCTTGTGAAGGGCTGCAAACAATGGGAGCTCTGTGTGTATTTGTACTTTGGAGGAACTCTGCCAGGACATGGAGAAAGAAAAACACTAGAGGTCTCCCTGCAGACCCAAGTTTTTAGGCTTCGTGCTCCATCCCATGCTCGAGTTGCTCTCTGGGCTGCGGCACTGAGACCGGCGGGGAGGATTTTGGAGGGGCTGTGGAAGTTGCGGGTGTTGGACCTACACAGCCAGGCGGGGTACAGGGAGGCTTAGAGCTGTGCCCGTGTCTCAGGGTTGTCTGTTGTTCCTAGGCGCGACCTCCTCTGATCTCAGATAGGTATTTTCTTTCATTTGGGAGGGGAAAGAGGGGGAGGTGGAAAGGCAGACGAGGTATAGTGGGTAGGTAACAATTTAAGGTCAACTTTCTGTGTCTATTGCTCTTCAAAGAACTTTGTTATAAAGAATAAATAATTGATTTTTCACTTCAGGCACTCAGGAAGTTTATTTACCTCCAACCACATTAAAAAAAAAAAAAAAAAAAAAAGAGGGATTTTTCCCCTCCTGGTGTTTATATGTAAACACAGAGAGAGAAAAAAAGTGAAATTAAGAGCACCAGGAGTTTTGTTGTTTTTTTTTTTTTTTTTAAAAAAAGAATATTAAAACACCACGTAGCAATCTGTGGAAAAACAGCTTTGAACTGTATGATTCCTGTCGCCTTTTCTGTTTTGTTTTGGTATTTCACGTGGCTCTTAAGTCTTCCTTCCATTTAAATACATAACAGTGCACATGAGGGCCCAAACTCCCTGTTCCTTCCACAGGAAAGATTTTGCTATTTCCAGCAGAAACGAGCCATACACTTACATAAACCCCAGTACAGCAGCCCAGCACATCCTGCTGGCTGCATTTCCCTTCCATGAGTATTGAAGGCTTTGAAAAGGGGAAACACCCCCCGCTGGGACTCCACCGGGAAGCACACCAGTGCTAAACACTTCCACTGCCTTGCTCATGCATGGTTAGAAAGAGATGCCCAAAAACACATACAGGCTTGGAGCAATGCACACCTGGAAGTGTGAAGACAAAAAAAACCTTAAAAAGGAACTGTCTTAGCCCCAGACCACAGAAGTAAAACACAACCTTAATTATAATGAGCCTCCTTGGCCCCAGACTGTGTGTTCTTCAATTTTTGGACACTCAAGATTCCCCTAAACAGGGTGCCAGGCCATCTAGTCTAGATCATGCTTTGCCAAGAAAGGTTGGACCAGATGATCTATGATTTGAAGTGAAGGGAAGCAGCAGACCCACCTACAGTCTTCCCTGGGCAGGCTAAGCCCCATCACTGTCAGAGCTCTTCAGTGATCTAACTGTATGCTGGACCTGCTCTGAACACCTTCCCCAAGAGGTGGTAGAGCAGTGTTGAACAAGGTTTGTTTGTTCACCTGGAGAGCCCTAGGGAGCTTTACTTGCAGTCTCTTATCAGGAGTCTTGGCCATTCAGTAATCTGTGCACCATGCCCCATGTTCTTAATTTTCTTCATGTCCTCTTCCCTGTTGACACCAGGGATCTTAGTAGGCAGTGTTAGGCCCAGCATCACAACTGCTGACACAGGGCATCACTAAAGGGTTTCCCACAGTTAGCAGTTCAGGTGGCATCCTCTTAGCTTCAAAACTACAGCCCAGGGCTGAGGTTTACCCAAGAAAACTTGTGAGCTCTGGGCACCTAAACCCCCATTCTCTAACCATTTACTCTGCTGATCTTTTCCACCATCAGCAGCAAAGCTGGGTCATCCTGAGGGGCATCAGCGTTACAGGGCTTTACTCTTTAAGCTTCTTTTGAGATGCAGTTGAGGTCAAACTCCAAGCCTATGCCTCTGTTTAGTTATTGTGTAGCTGAGTGGGTATCAGCGCTACTTTGGCACAATAAAGCTGCCTACGAACAGCAGTGTGGAAGTCACAGGGCTATTGGTAATAATTAGCAAAGCTCAGAAGGTCTGGTGATTTTATCTCGACCCAGGGCTTCTTTTTTTTTCATTAATCAGGTTAGAAATTATCAGGTTTGCTCACAAGATCTCTGTAGTTCCCATCTCACAAATTCAATAGAAGCAGGCTGGTTCCAAGCCGCAAAGTTTAAATGCATGTGGTTCTCAGGTATCCAGCCCAGTTTTATTCCTAGTAATTTTACTAGTTTCTAGCCAAGACCACCATGGTAAGAAAGAAGACTAAAATAAATAATAGATATGGCCAGGTGCTATTAGCACTGTGGTGTGAAGATGTCACCTGAGACATTTTCTAGCAGTTTCTCAATCAAAGACCTCTGTTATAGGTGAAGTGCCTCTGACCATTAATTAGCAAATTAGCAAATTAACTGCAGCAGATATCTGTTCCTAGGGCTGTAGAGTATGTCCAGCTCCCAGATATCTGTGTGGAAGCATCAGCTACATCTTCAACAGCACTGGTCTGACAGGACATCCCTGGAGCTGCTTCCTTGGGAATTAGCAAATTCAAGGCTAGTGCAAGAAATTTTAGTGAGAAGATCTGTAGGAGATGAAGGACTTGCAGATTTGTTAATTAGCTCTGCAATAAGCAATATGTTTGCAATTAACTCTATTGCATATTTCTCTGAAGGCACTGCAGGATATGATGCTCTATAATGCTTTTCCTGCTCTCTTCCCCTGGCCAACCCTGCCATTCCTACATTTCTCTAGTCCCTCCTGCAATGCAGAGGTCTTTCTTTGTCCAGACTTATCACTTTAAAACTCGACATTCAGAGGAATTTTCTCCATTAACTGATTTCCTTACAAGACCAGACCACTTTGATTTTATGGGGGCTTTATTTTTGCTTACATCTTGCTCTCCTAAATGCTCCCTTTCATCATTCTCCTTGACCTAAACCAAACAGATCTACCTCTACATTCTCACTACTGACAAAAGGCAGCTCCATGGGGTTGGGAATTTTGAAGGTGACTGCACTACAGTGAAGCTTTTCTCCTCATGTCTTGCTGCTAGAAACAGCCATGTACAGTCACCCTCCTTCCACCTACCAGTGTTGATGTGGGAATGAAGTTTCTGGCACTGCTGTTGAATTGTAAATTGACCTCAGGCAAATCTTCTCACATTTTTTCTTACCCATTGTCTAATCTGTTTAGATTGTCAGAGTTTTTTAGGGTAGGGATTGTGTTGGTATTGGACTGAACATACCAGAACTAGTTTAACTATCACTGTACTGTTCAAAACCTGGTTTCCCTGGTCATCAGATTCAGGACCTTTTCCAGACTTATGATAAAAGCCAGACTCTTGCAGTTAAAAGAATTTGGGACTTTAAGAGATACCACAATCACCATATTTTCAGGGGAGGACCCCTAGTCCTAGATAGAACAGCCTTGATGTGGCTCCTCTTTGTTCTTGGGTTGCCTGTATGGCCTTCTACATTTTGAATAATTGAAATAACTGAAATTACCCTTATTCCTTCCATCCTCTCTTCCTCTTTCTTGCTTCCTATTCAGCCTCCTACCCCAGTGAAGTGGTCATTGAGACCTCAAGTGAATTTGATATATTGAAAAGCAGAAGCAGTGACTGAAAGAGAAAAAGTAAGTTTATCAGTGACCACAGGAGGGGTGGAAGTGCTCTGTGTGATGCCTTTTTAGAGGCATCTGGGTGAAGGGCAGGTGCTGATGTTCACTTTTGAAGCTTGTTGAGTGAGAGCAAGACTCTTTACAGCCATCACTGTCAGTGACACTACCACCATAACACCACCATAGTGGTCCATGCCAGCAGCAGGGGGTTCCCTGTTTCATGTGCTTCCATGGATACAATTAGTGTGACTGGATTTCCCAGACACCCTATGGGAAAGACGAGCTTATGAAACAAATTACTCCTGGGAGATGAGGTCACGCAAAGGATGATTCATGTCTTGTCCATCAGGACATGTCCAGCAGCTGCTATATAATGAGAATTGCACATGGTGTATTTGTGTGTTCGTGAATGGGAAGGTGGTGCCTAGCTTGTTACCTTACATTTCTTTCTGTGTCACTCACTGTAGATCTTTGCTGTGTTACTTACCTATCCACAGGGCTGGTGGTGCTTGTCCAGAGTCTGGATTTCCAGCTGTTCTGTTCATAGGTATTTGTATTTGGACACTGAAGGGTGAGTTTTCCTTGGAGGCATGAAAGTTGCCTCTCCCTTCTCTCCCTTTTCATCCCCTTCTGTCTCCTCCCCTCCCCTTCAACACCCTTCTTCACCCCTCCTCTCCTTTCTCTCCTTCTCCCAATCCCTCTCTGTAGAGTAGAGCTGATGGCTGACAAAAGCTGTTTATCTCTCTCCTTACGACAGTGGAGAGAAGTGGACATATGTAAGCGTTCAGCCTGGGATTAGCATAGGAGGGAAAAAAACACTTTAGGCAATTTATTCCTCCCTACCTACAATGTTTTCTATAGAGGTTTTCCCCCTAAATTATATTTATTTTAGGCTGAGCAATACAGCAGGAAGTTAAACAAGGAGGAACCTCATCTATACCTTTTCTACATCTTGAAATGGCATTTACCTCTGCAGATGGTGGACTGCTGGGAATGTAAAAGGGCTGCAATCAGGAAATCAAGCTGCACTGAGGACACCAAAATTGTAACCGATTAGCACCGTGCGTGCACGCATGCAGTGTAGTCATTAAAGGATAAATCTATTTTGTTCACCTATGAGTAATGCTTGGGACATAATCTGAAATTTCTTTAAAAGCAGAGAAACTTCCCCAAGTTAGATGTGACCAAATGTAAAGTCTCCAACTTTTAGACACAAAAAGTTAGCGTCTAAAAGCGTGCCAATCGGAATCTGTAGGTTTTCAGCTCCCCCCTTTTCAGGCCAAATTGCCAAACTGGCTTTATCGTTGAAATGAACACACAGCTGATTCATAAAACATTCACGCAGAGTTTTTACTTTCTTGGAAAGAAGGGAGCAGGCTGCTTCCAGGG